GGGGGGGGGGGGCGAACCGCTGTCTTTGCTCGCCGGGGGATGTGTGTTGCCCTGGCTGCGCCGACTCTACCATGACTGGGGCATCCCGGGGAGCTCTGGGTGCACCCAGGGTGCACCCAGGATGCACACCTGTCTAACCCACAAAGGGACTCTCCGCCGTGCGTGGCCACCCCGTACAGGGGCCATCTACAAGTACGACCTGTCGTTCAGAGTGGAGGAGATGTATGGCGTCGTGGGTGCGGCGCGGGAGCGCCTGGCCTCGGCCTACCCATCAGGCTTCCTGGGCGGCGGCGCGGGCTCGACAGCAGGCTCTGACACCGAGCACGCGCTCAAGGTGGTGGGTTACGGGCACCTGGGGGACGGCAATGTCCACCTGAACATCTCGGCCCCGCGCTACGATGCCGGGCTGGAGGCCCTGATAGAGCCATGGGTGTACGAATTCACCGCCGCCCATAGCGGCTCCATCAGCGCCGAGCACGGGCTGGGTCGCATGAAGGCGCCCTGCATCGGCTACTCCAAGCCGCCGGAGGCGGTGCGCCTGATGCGCAGCATCAAAGCCGCCTTCGACCCGCAGGGCATCTTGAACCCCTACAAGGTCCTGCCACCGGAGTGATGCATGGACGAGGGTTTTCAGTGTCCCATGCCATGCACCATGTGTGTATGTTTCCAGTCGCAGGATTGATATTGGAATCCAAGCTTGTTCCTCTGGCAATGCTCAAGGTGGCCTTGTGATTGGTGTGCCGTGCCCAGCAGGTCTCGCCGACAAGTTGCCACCGCGCGCCCTAGCGACCATCGCGCATGAACGTCTCGCCGACCAGCGGAGTCCGCATGGCCGCAGGTACACCAGCGAAACTCCCCAAATCGTGCTGCATAGTATATTCACACATTCTCCATTCCCCAAAGAGCTACCAAGGTCGAAGTCATATCCGGGCTTGGCCAGGTTGCGGTGCGGGCCTGACATTCCTGTGGATAGCATCTGGAGCCTGGAGTAAAGGCGGGAGCTACATCAAGCATACCATACTGATATAAAGCTCACGAAATGCGGAGCGCATGCCGGCCTAGCCCTGGGCATGCCTTCACCTCGGGTATGAAAACTTTAGCCTCACGCCGAGCTTCTGTGTGCTTCCCCTGTTGTGTTTATAACAAGGTCCCTCCAGCATGCCACCCGCCCACAATCACAGGCGCCCCTCCACGAGTCCCCTGTCGTCGGCCGCAACTGGTGTCCCCCGTTTGCATGGTGGGCAGGGTGTGATGCTGGTGGTGACATCATATTGCAGGAAGGTTGGGGCGCATGCCTGCGCCAAGCGATGCACATAGGCTCCTCAGCCATGGCTCCCTCCCTCGTGCAGGCTCACCCCCGCCGCATCGCAAAGGTCGCCAAGCAAATAGAGCGAGAGGTTGGTTCACTTCTCATTCACGACATGGTGCGGGCTGAGTGATCCAGCCTGGTGTTGGACGGGACTGGTGGACTTTGGGCCTTTTCATGCTGCATGCTACCTGCTCTGGCAACGTTAGAGCCTGGATAATGGTACCCTGGCTTTCAGAAATGCAACACCCATACCCCAGATGTGTGGAACCTTAATGCCCCTCCCACTCTCCACCTGCAGGTCCTCCAGAAGGCCATCTGCCCGGAGCGGCGGCGAGGCATCGATGCATCCATGTCGGCTGTGGCCTCCGTTACAGAGGTCCAGCTGACTCGGGACATGCAGGTTGCGCGTGTCTTCCTCTCTATATTCTCAGATGAGGAGGGCAAGGCGATCGCCTTGCAGGGACTGCAGGGACTTGAAGGGTGAGTCAAGGCTGTGGTGGGAGGTCTTGCAATAGCGTGCAGGAGGAAGGTCCGGCATGCTCTTTTGTTTCTGCGGCATATGCCTTGGTTCCAGAGCAGCAGAGCCCCAGGGGAAGCTGACCCTTGGGTGCAACAAAACCCACTGCATCCCAGTGAAATTGCGCACCACGCCGCCACTTGTTGCATGGTCTGAGAACTATTCGACCCTCTCCTGTCATGGCCATCGGATTTCAGTCCAGTCACCCCAATTTTGCACAGGTATGTGCGGAGGATGGTGGCACGAGAGATGGGGCTGAGGCTGATTCCCGAGCTCCGCTTCCAGCTGGATGACACCATGGAACGCAGCGATCGGGTGCAGGCGCTGCTGGAAAGGGTGAGGGCCATGGAAGCGGGCGATGAGGAGGCGCCTCCCATCACGCTGTCGTAGTCGATCGTGCTGGGCGCTTTCGTGCCATGCCATTTTGTCTCTTGATGCCCTTGCAAGACTGTTTTCATCTCGCCCGCCTGGCACCATCAGCAACGTTACCCCAACAGGACACGAAGGCCAGGTTTAGCACGACCAAAAACTGGTGTGCGTGAAGAAATTGTCAGTGGGCCAGTGCAGGCCCCGTCCCGCCCTTGTCATGGTTCTCTTACGTGTCACTGCAGGGTACAAGTCCAACACTTTACAGGGTGGGAAGAGTGGATACCGACTCGTAGCTGGGGATGCATGCCAATAACACCTGAGGACCTGTGCCGAGAGGACAGAGACACCTGCAAAACTGCATGAATAAGCTGCGTGGAAAGGCATGGCTGGACCATGATCATGTTGTGAATAATCACAGCCTAGGAGCCGGGCACCTGGCTGGGTTCAAGCCCCTTGAGGTGCTCCTTCATGTCCTTTCCCAGCGTCAGGTTGCCCTTCATGTAGCCCGGGGTGAGCATGTGCTGCCTGGCGCTAATGTCAAACCTCCTCCGAGGTCCGACGTACGCAACCTTGAGGGTGCCTAGAGGCTTCAGGCTCACGGCTTCACCTGCAGGGAGGAGTGCACAAGGGAGCAACTAAATAGAGATGCAGAGATGATCCACCATTGTGCCAGAATGGAACCTTAGGACGATGCATCGAGAGCCCTCACCTCTCTTCAGCGCGGCGATCAGGAGCTCAATCGTCTGATTCACCAATGCCGTGGCCTTGGCGTGAGTCAAGTATTCGTTCGTCTGTGCCAGCTCTGCAGCCAACTTCCTGTTGGTATATGCGATCTGCCTGGATCCGGTCTCCGATGCCTCATCCGAGGAATAGCTCCGTCCCGCCAGGGGCCCAGGTGCCAGGCGCGCACCCTGCCGGGCCCAGGGACTGCCACCGAAGGAGGTGGCCAGGCTTCGGAGGAGGCTGGGTGCAGTCTGAGACATTTTTGCTGGTCTGAAATACTTAATCGCGCGCGAAATGAGGAGAATCACTCCACTTGCTGCCAAGCTTGTATGTGCTTGTTTGGTGCAGCCCGGGCAGCTCGTCAACAGGACAAGAAATCAGGACGAGATTCAACTCGTCGACATCAATTTGGAGCCCGTGCAGGGTTACAGATCTTACAAAAATGCTGGGAGCACAGCGTTTGGATGCATTGATTTTTGCAATCACGCCGTGCCAGTGCTGGGAATATTACTGAAGGGGTTTGGGGTAGTTCAGGAGTGTGCCGTGCCCCGATCCTGCTCGGGCATCAGGAGGCCGAGCATACCCAGGGCTGCTGAGGGCACGCGGGTTCCCGGGCCATAGATGGCGGCCACGCCCGCCTCCAGCAGCGCAGCGTGGTCCTGGAATGTTTTCTCGTTTTGGGTGGGTGACCATCGGTGTTGTGGCTGGATGGGCAGCATGCTGCACATCCCTCGAGCCCCCCCCCCCTTCCCTTCGCCAGGACCACGCCAGACCCCCCCCCCCCCCCCACCCATGTCACCTGCTCGGGGATGATGCCGCCCACCACCACCAGGACGTGCTGCATCCCCGCCTCCCTCAGCTCGTGCATAAGGGCAGGGACCAGGGTCGTGTGCCCTGCCGCCTGGGAAGAGACGCCCACCACGTGCACGTCGGCGTCCACTGCTGCCCTCGCCACCTCCGCCGGCGTCATGAACAGGGGGCCGATGTCCACATCGAAGCCCAGGTCTGCCAGCCTGTGTCCCAGGGGTCGGTGGTGAGGGTGGAGGGGGGTGGACGCAGCAGCACGAGCCGCCACGAGGCGGCGTGATCGCGACGAGATGGGCAGACACGGCTGAACACCACGTTACCAGTCTGTCGACTTCCTGCCCCCCCCAGCTCGCAGCACCAGGCGTCATGAGCATGCCCACGCGCGTCCCTAGGCGGCGCACGGCCCTCCTCCACCCACCCTGCAAACACACGCACAGGATCGCGCCCCGCGCTCACCCCGTGGCCATGACCTTGGCGCCGCGGTCGTGCCCGTCCATGCCCATCTTGGCGAGCAGGATGCGCGGCCGGCGCCCGGCAACTGCCTCGAAGCGCGCCACCGCCGCGGCGCAGGCCGCTGCCTCCTCCCGACCTTCGTCGCCCAAGGAGGCGGCGTACGTCCCCGTCGCCATGTCACCTGGACGCGCGGGTGGGAGGGGGGAGAGGGTTGAGCAGAAGCATGCTGGCCTGGCCAGTCCTGGGCCGAGAGGCTCTGTGCGGCGGTGGATGTCAGCAACCCTCCGAAACGCTTCTTCATGCCCACCCCCTCTCCCCACGATCCTTCCGCACCTGCCGCCGCGTATCTGCCCCAGGGCCGCTCCAGGGCGTCCGAGATCTCGCCCACCGTGGCCCTCGCCCGCGCCGCCTTGACGGCCAGGTCCAGCAGGTTGTGCTCCTCCCGGTCCACAGTGGAGGCCGCCGCCTCGAGCGCCGCCAGCGCCGCCTCCACGGCGGCTCCGTCCCTCGACGTCCGCACCGCCTGCAGGGATGCGGAGGGATGGAGGCGTGTTTGGTGGCAAGGACCAATGGTGCGCTGGTGCACACACACCGCAGGTCTCAGGATGAAGAGTTGGTAGACCCCCGCTCTTGATTCCCTCAAACCTATTCCACCGGCCCCCCGCCCCCCCCCTCCAAAACCAACCCCAGACCTGCAAGCCTCACCTCCAGGCGGGCCTTCTGGGCGCGAAGGACGGCAGTGTTGTCGATCTTGCGCACGTCCAGCGCCTCTCCCTGGTCGCCCTCCTTGGCGTACTTGTTCACGCCGACGATGACCTGCCGCCCGGCGTCGATGTGGGCCTGCTGCCGCGCCGCGCACTCCTCGATCTTCAGCTTGGGCAGGCCCGCCACGATGGCCTCGGTCATGCCGCCCATGCCCTCCACCTCGTCAATCAGCGCGCCGGCGCGCGCCTCCATCTCCGCCGTCAGGCGCTCCACGTAGTAGGAGCCGCCCAGCGGATCGGCCACGTCGCAGATCCCCGTCTCCTCCGCCAGGATCAGCTGCGTGCTGCGCGCCAGGCCCGCCGAGAAGTCGGTGGGCAGGGCGATGGCCTCGTCAAAGGAGTTGGTGTGCAGCGACTGTGTGCCGCCGAGCACCGCCGCCATGGCCTGCAATGGATATGGTGGGGTAGGGCAGGGATGGGGGGGAGGGGGTATCAGGACCGAATCAGCGTTCGCCATCCGACAGCCACATACCTCCGCCCACCCATCCACCCACCTCGACGGTGGTGCGGATGATGTTGTTGTGTGGCTCCTGGGCAGTCAGGGAGTAGCCCGAAGTCTGGCAGTGGGTGCGCAGGGCCAGGCACTTCTCGTCCTTGGGGGAGAATTTCTCCTTGACGAGACGGGCCCAGAGTCGGCGGGCGGCCCGCAGCTTGGCGACCTGTCATGGGTCGGGGAGTTGCAGAGCACAGGTTCAGTGGCACGAGTGGGTCTGTTCCTCAGGTCCACTGTCAGGAGGCTAACGTGTCGAAATAGTGATGGCACCATGCGCCAAGTCGTCACCACTGCCACACTGACGTCACGTCGCAGTGCCCTGCACCCTCATCATCCTTCCCAACAAAAGCACCCCCTCACACACCTCGCTGAAGAAGTTCATGCCGATGGCGAAGAAGAAGGAGAGGCGTGGCGCGACGTCGTCCACGCTCAGCCCCGCGTCCCGCGCGCAGCGCAGGTACTCCAGCCCGTCTGCCAGGGTGTAGGCCAGCTCGAGGGTGGGCGTGGCACCTGCCTCCTGCAGGTGCATGGAGTCTGGTACATTGCTACCCCAGGAACAGCATGCAACAAGGCGACCAGCAGCACATCACCGTGCCCTATGGCTTGAAGGTCCCGGCCCTCCCTTCACCATCACAAATGCAGTCTCCATTCCCCAGCAAGACTGCTCATGGACAAGCCGCCCCGTGCCTGCATGTGGTAGCCCGAGATGGAGATGGGGTGGAACTTGGGCACGTGCTTGGCGCAGTAGGCGAATATGTCGCCGATGAGGCGCATGGACTGGCGCGGGGGGTATATGTATGTGTTTCTCACCATGAATTCCTGCATAGGTGTTGATGGGGGAAGGGGGTTAAAGGGGTTTGCTGGCAAAACCTGGAGGCATCGCCAGGTCTCGATGCATATGCTCCCGGTCCTGTGCAGGGAGAATTGCAGATACTCGCAGAGGCACATATCACCCCACCCTCTTCAGCTCTTCCCCCCTCCTCCCCCAACCAAAGCATACACAATGCTCCCACCCTACCCCACGCACCTTGAGGATGTCGTTCTGGATGGTGCCCATGAGCGCGGCAGGGGCCACCCCCTGCTCCTCCGCGGCCACGATGAACATGGCCATGACGGGCAGGATGGCGCCGTTCATCGTCATGCTGACGCTCATGCGGTCCAGGGGGATGCCGTCAAACAGGACCTTCATGTCCTCCACGCTGTCGATGGCCACGCCTGCCATGCCCACGTCGCCGGCCACGCGGGGGTGGTCTGAGTCGTAGCCACGGTGCGTGGCCAGGTCAAAGGCCACGCTGACGCCCTGCTGCCCGGCTGCCAGGTTTTTCTACGGAGGCGAGGACGTTGTGTTTGTGTGGGCATCGGTGGGTGAGTGGGAACAGCCGTCAGCGGCGGGGTTGCAGCATCGCTTGGGGCCCACGCCTCCACCCCTGATCGTCACAGGCTGATGACAGCTCAAGCAAAGACCTTTTCATCCACCCACCCTGTAAAAGGCGTTGGATTCTTCTGCAGTGCTAAACCCGGCATACTGGCGGATGGTCCAGGGGCGGCCCGTGTACATGCTGGCGTAGGGCCCACGAGTGAATGGGTACACCCCTGGATACTGCGGTGTCGGAGGAGCGGGGAAGGGTGCATCTTGGGGTTCCGGCACCCGCACGGCGCCGTAGACAATGTCAACGCCTTGCATCAGGCCCTCCAATGATGGCTGATAGTAATCCGCATACCTCGGTGTCAAGGCCGGAAATGTCGGCGATGTCTGCCGCAGTGTAGACCGGCTTTTGCGGGATCCCCTGGCGAGGGAAGAATGCAACAAATATCGCGATGCAGGGCCCAGACAGGGCATGAGCGCAAAAAGCAGTGTCCAATGCAACCACTTACATCCTGATTGGTAGATCCGAAGGTCTCGTAGGGATCCTTGCCCTTGGCCTCCTTGCGAGCCCGCGTCTCCCACGCCTGAGCCCCGTCGGCGACGCTAGAAGTGCATCGAATGCCGAGGCCCCATCGGGCCTTGAGCAGCCAGGCTCGCCGGAGTGACGCCATCGCAACACTAAAGTGCGGGATCCCGTTCATGCGGGCCAGTCTTGCCAGCCATGCCGCGGGTCGGGGGTCGCGTACTGACCAGAACGACACGTCGGCAGCATTGGGCCGGGCCAGCATGCTTCGCGACAAGGAGTTGGGTGACTACAACGTACGAAAGTGGACAGGGACACTACTTGGAGATCGACCCTGCATTCAATCTGTTGATGTAACCCCTTGGGCCTCTGTACATACTCCGACCGTAGCCTGGGCAGGAGTGGTCACCATCGCAGACTGTAGCCTCTCGGGGTCTGAGCAGCATGTCCAGCCTCAGGGCCCTTTCACGGGTGCGTGGATGTGAGAAGAACTTCATGTACCTGGAGGACAGTCACAAATGCATGCATGGATCCTGCATCCTTGCCGCACCTTCTCGAGCCTTTCACGCTTTCACGGGTGCAGGCGCTGCAGATGCGACGGTCATTCTCCGGCGCCCCAAAGCAGGCCGATGAAGCGGCGGCAGCTGCCCGGCAGGCCGCTGAACAGGTGCTGGCGGAGTGGGCTAGAGGGGGGAAGGGCTTGGTCTGGAGATCCCCAGGGCTCTCCTGCCCAGCCGGCTCTGGCATGGGTGTGCCCTCCTCCCCCTTCTGCTCCAGTGCCGCTGAGACATTCACACCCTGTACGCACAGGCAAAGGCTGCGATCGCCGAGAAGGCTGCCGCCGCACAGCGGCTGGCGCAGGACACCGTGAAGGAGCTGTTTGGGCGAAGATCCTCGGAGTCCTCCGACCAGCAGCAGCAGCAGCAGCAGCAGCAGCAGGGGTCGGCACAGGAGGCGGCTTCGGCTGCTGGTCCCGGCGGCTCCGACGAAAAGTCCCGGCCCAACCGGGAAGCTCCAACCAAGCCGGGCCTCCTTGACCGCGTGCGATCCACTGCGACCGTGGTGATCAAGGAGATGGTGGCGGCCGTGTCGGCCGAGACCCCCTCCACCTCGGCCATGCGCGGCGCGCCCAAGGGCGGCAGCCTGAAGACAGCAGAGACGACCGCCCTGGCCCACCACTCCGTGGCCGAGCCGGCGTGGCAGAAGCAGTGGCGCGAACTCCAGAACAAGGTAGGGGGTTGTGTGGTCTTGACAGCGCAGCGGGATTGGGAGCTTCCTTGGGAGGAGTCGGGGGGGTGGAGGGCTGGGGAGCGTGCCATGTACTGTGCATGACTGGGAGGGCTTTGGTCGTCGTGTGACGTGGCCGGACCACGTACAGTGTTGCAACTTGTTGCTGGCTTGGCAGTTCAACCTCCAAATTTGTCGTCCCACCACGGCATGCATCTCCCAAAACCACTCTACTCTCCCCCCTTTCCCCCTTTCCAGCTGGGCTCGCACCCCCTCTTCTCCCGCCTGTCCTCCCACCTGGACCAGCAGGTGCTGACGCGCGGGCGCGACGTGGCGGGCTCGCTGCGCGAGCGGTGGGAAACCTCCGACTCCCCCCTGGTGCACCGCCTGCAGGACGCCGCGGACTCGTGGTCGCAGGAGTCGGAGGGCGCGGCGGCGCTGCGCGAGATCCGCGCCCGCGACCCCGATTTTGACATGGTCCGCTTTCTCGCGCGCGTCAGGGCTGACGTCCCCGTCATCATCGGCGCCTACCTACGCGGCGAGGCTGACGTCATCCGCGAGCACTGCTCGCCCGAGATGGTGGAGCGGCTGACGGGGATTATGGCCGCCACCGCGCAGTCGGGGCAGGTGCCGGACCCCACGCTGCTGGACACCTCCGACGTGGAGCTGGTGGACCTGAAGCTGTCGGAGGAGGCGCCCTGCGTAGTGGTCCAGTTCACCTGCCAGCAGATCAACTGCGCGCGCGACAGCCATGGCAACGTTGTGGACGGCGCGCCGGACGATGTGCACCGCGTCTACTATTTTTGGGCGCTGCAGCAGGAGGCAGAGGGCTACATGGGCACCGATGGCACCTACCAGCCCCCGCGCTGGCAGCTGCGGGAGATGATGATCCGGGGCATGCACCACCTGCTGTGATGGAGGGCGGCGCTTGCGGGTGGAGGGGGAGAGTGTGGAGCCGGGGGGGGGATCCCGTGTGTGGGGGCTGGCCTTGGGGATGTCTCACATGGTCCCCTGTGCGCAGCGAGGAGGGACGCACGGGGAGAGCAGATCCGCGAGCATGAAGCCTGCGCTGGAGCCTGCATCTCGAATGGCCCCTTGGACGTGTCCTTGCCTCCCTTCACACCCCTCCTGCTTCCCGACCCATGAATGCATGCGCCCTCGTGACGTGGAGAGGTCATGCATCCTTTCCCCCCCCCTCCTTCCCTTCCCCTGGTGGCGGTACCCTTGCAACACGGTCAACGGTGGGGCACACAGTCCGCAGAACAGCCAGCCTGTCAAAGCATGTGCTCCGCGGACTTGGAGGACAGCAGGCCCGTGAAGGTGCCCCTGCCGTCGGCCTCCATGCCCCGCAGCACATTGCAGCCCATGCTCGGCTGCCCGGCCCCGCGGCACGCCCACCGCTCGCCCTCCTCGGCGCTGCAGGCCCCGCGCACGAGCGCCGCGCCCACGTCCCTTGAAGCCTTGCTTTCCCGCGCCTGCGCGGCGTCGGCTGGCCCCGGCCAGTTCAGGGCCAGGGTCAGTGGGTGGGTGTCGCAGGCCATGGACAGGGGCTGGCGGCTGCCCAGAAGCTGCACCAGCCGGTCCACCGTCCAGGCGGGGGTCAGGCTCCGCAGCTCCACGCGGAACTGCTGAGAGGAGGCCGCGGAGCCGCCCCGTACCTCCACGCTGCTCAGCAGCTGTGGGGTGTGTGGTGGGGAAGGGAGGTTGATTCAGGCTGATGTCACATCCAAAAGTCGAAAGGCCTGCAAGGCCAGGGCAGGGGATCGCACTGGCCCTCGTTGGAGCAGCGCTGCAGTGGCAATGGAGCCTGTTGGCAAGCACTCTGCTGGCTACAGAGCCCCAACGCCATTGCTCAGATACTCAGGCGCCCTCGACCACGCACCTTGGGCCGCGCCGCCACCATGGCGCCATGGAGAAAAGGGACGGGGGCGAGGAGCAGGGGCACGTCCGCCTCGTCCCCGGCGGCCCTGAACGCCTCGTTCAGCAGGAAGTCAAACAGGCCGTGCACGCCCTCCTCGCCCTGGAAGGAGAGCAGGGAGCACGTCCCGGCTGCCGGAATCGCGGACTGCACGGTGATGAGGGGATGAGGGGTATGACTGCGGGGTAGCGACGTCCACTGTCAGCAGGCACCAGCCCCTCTCCCAGCATGGACCCTCGCACAGAATGTACTCGCCTGGTCCTGGGGCGCCGCACCCGTCTGGGGCAGGAGGGGCGCGTCGTAGGCCAGGCCCAGCCCGTTGGAAAGCATGGAGCGCAGGCCCGGGGTGGAGCGCGTGAGCAGTCCGTGCGGCTGCCGGCGGCCGCCCACCCCCGCCGCGCCGAAGAAGGCGAGGGCGGGGCGTTTGCCGCCCTCGGCGGGGACCACGTAGAAGGCGTCGCAGGCGCCGGCACGCAGGGCGTCGTACAGCGAGCACAGCGCGGCCTGCCAGGCGCCGCGCCGCGCCGCGGCGTCCGGGTGCCCGCCCCTGGCTGCGCCCCGCGGGTCCAAGGGGTACTGGAAGGAGGTCAGGGCTGCGAGGTACTGCTGATGTGGCGCCAGCAGGGCGGGGTCTGACCGCGCCAG